TTCTAGGTGCTTTTCATTAATCCTATTTATAAATTAGCTTTTTTTTTATTGTGCAATATCCTCTGTCTTCAGACTCTTTTTTGCCATCTATGTAGTGGCATCATGTGACAGCTGGTATATTGATGGATATACTGGTATTTAACAACAAATAGTCTGTACACAATAATTAGGAATAATTGCTTTGACTAAAGCTGTTAATTTTTATCATAGGTATGTAAGATTGAAACACTCAAACTAACCTTATATATTGGTATCTAATGGCATATGATCTCTGGTGGGTATGTGAATGTATAATTGTTGAATGTAGTTGTTGCCTCGATGATATCTCTCTGTGGATGTTGTAGGCCAGTCATCCATAGATTATTTTAACAGCTTATTATTTGTTAATTTAAAATATATCCAAGTTTTCTTAATTTCATGGGCTTCCCAAGTGATGCTAGTGGTAAAGAACCCGCCTGCCAATGTAGGAGACTTAAGAGATGTAGGCTTGATCCCTGGATTGGTAAGATCCCCTGGAGAAGGGAATGGCAACCCACTCCAGGATTCTTGCCTGCAGAATACCATGGACAGAGGAGCCTGGAGGGCTGTGGTCCATAGGATTGCATAGAGCTGGATATGATTGAAGCAACTTAGCACTAGCACTCTCTTAATTTACATAGTATTCTGCTTACCTGCCACCTTGCCTGCCTCCTGAGAAACCTGTATGCAGGTCAAGAAGCAGTTGTTAGAACCAGACATGGAACAATGGACTGGTTCAAAATTGGGAAAGAAATACATCAAGGCTGTGTATTGTCACCCTGCTTATTTAACTTATATGCAGAGTACATCGTGTGAAATGCTGGGCTGGATGAAGGAAACTGAAATCAAGATTGGCGGGAGAGTTATCGGTAACTTCAGATATGCAGATAACACCACCCTTATGGCAGAGAGTGAAGAGGAACTAAAGAACCTCATGATGAAAGTGAAAGAGGAGAGTGAAAAAGCTGGCTTTTCAACATTTTTTCAACATTCAGTAAATGAAGATCATGGCATCTGGTCCCATCACTTCGTGACAGATAGATGGAGAAACAATGGAAACAGTGACAGACTTTATTTTCTTGGGCTCCAAAATCACTGCAGATGGTACTGCATCCATGAAATTAAATGATGCTTGCTCCTTGAAAGAAAAGCTATGACAAACCTAGAAAGCGCATTAAAAAGTAGAGCCATTACATTGCCAATAAAGGTCTGTCAAGTCAAAGTTATGGTTTTTCCAGTAGTCATGTATGGATGTGAGAGTTGAACCATAAAGAAGGCTGAGTGCTGAAGAATTGATGCTTTTAAACTGTGGTGTTGAAGAAGGCTCTTGAGAGTCCCTAGGGCTTCAGGGAGATCAAACCAGTCAATCCTAAAGAAAATCAGTCCTGAATATTCAGGGAAGGACTGATGCTGAAGCTGAAGCTCCAATACTTAGGCCATCTGATGTGAAGAGCTGACTCATGAAAGACTCTGTTGCTGGGAAAGATTGAAGGCAGGAGGAGAAAGGGACGACAGAGGGTGAGATGGTTGATGTCATCACACACTGAATGAACTTGAGTTTGAGCATCGTCCGGGAGACGGTGGACAGGGAAACCTGGTGTGCCGCAGTCCATGGGGTTGCAAAGCGTCAGACATGACTGAGTGACTGAACAACAAATAATGTGCTTTCGGGCATAGGTTTCTTGCTTGTGTGTGTGTGTAAAGTCATTTCAGGCTTTGACTGTTTGACTCCTTGTGACCCCATGGACGGTAGCCCACCCGGCTCCTCTGTCCATGGGATTCTCCAGGCAAGAATACTGGAGTGGATTACCGTGCCCTCCTCCTGGGGATCTTCCTGACCCAGGGATTGAACCCATGTCTTTTATGCCTCTTTGATTGGCAGGTGGGTTCTTTACCACTAGCACCACCTGGGAAGCCTGGATTTCTCAGTTACATAATCTAAAATTGTACATACTATATGTTCCTCCCTGACAATAAAGAGATTTGAAGGGACTCTCTTCAGAAACTGTATAGGGAATTAGGCAGCTGCTGTCCTTGGTGATGAAATTATTTCATGTGAATTCTTAAGGAAAACAACTAGTTAAAAAAGTGGGATAATCTTAAGTGTATTGTTTGTGACTACTGTTGGTATGAAGATAGATCTGTTTGAACTAGAAAAATACAGACTGCAGTATCTTAATGTCTTGAGTTCCTGACTGCCATGCAGAGGAAATGTTTAACTATTTTAATCATGTTTCTATATCTCAGAAAGAAAGCCCTTATGAAAGGAAATGACAGCGTCCTACCACAAAGTTATCTCTTATCAGTTATAGTCTTAGTCGATAATGATTTGTCAAACTTGGACATGTGTAAAATGCAAGGGCTGTGTTATTTACTTTGGAAAGGAAAAATTAGATGAAGCTGATAAGGACGGAGTCATGGCTTTTGTTAGGAGACAGAAACCATTAAAGGCAGTCATTGTTAGCTTAGGAAAGTGTCCTTGGACCCCTCCCTCTGTCCCAGCTGAAACCTAAACCTGCTTGAATCATTCTTTGCAACTTGAGGGGAGGGAGGGACCACTGAGGAGGAGATGAAGACAGCTCTGACAGAGATTTAGCATTTTAAATGGGGAGCAAAACTTGGGCCTTGAAACAGACTGTTTATTTGAGTCAGGAAACACTGCCTTTTGTTCTGGTACTCACTCCCATTTATTTAGGTTTTTGAAAGTTCATTTCTTATCCTTCCAAACGTGTAGCATTCCTTCACGTACAGTGTATGTTGCTCTCCTCCTTTCACCTTTCTGTAGATGTGATTCTTTTTCATTAGTGGAAGCAGAGAAAACACATTTAGCTCAAAGCAACATGAGTCAGTGCATGCTTTACATACCTTTCTTCTCACAGCACTCTTCTGGTTTCCTCACAGTGTTCCTAGTGTTCCTCACAGAAGGGAGCGTGGAGGAAAAATGATTTCTAAATAGTAGGCTATTTGGAGGGTGGAAGTAAAGTTTGTGAACTTAAGCTCCATTCTGTTCCTTTTTATCTTGATTTCTGTGTAGCACCTTCAAGGCAGGAAAGCATGTCCTTAGGAGGACTTAACTGGATTATGATTTCAGAGACTCAGAAATAGCTTTGTCCTCTATGTCAGAGTACTTAAAACAGTTAGAAGCTGAATATGATGATGTCAAGACAGCCTTACAGAGAATACATTTGGTTGTAAATATTTGGAGGAAATATTTTGTTTTGCTTAATACTTGCTTTTCAGTGTTTCCTTGGAGATGACAGGAAAGGCCTTTGTCTCTTCTCTAATTATGTCTATTTTTGAGTTGGTCCAGAAAAACCAGTCTTCTCATGCATTAGTAAAGGGCCCCATTAGGTTATTTGTCACAGATTTCTAGGGAAATTGTCCCCTAAGGTGGGATGTTCATTCTTTAAGGATGGGTCTGACATGTGAAAGGGCTAAGACTCTGAGCAATGGCTAGAAGCAGGTTCCTTTTGAATGAAACTATGGCTTTGAGTTCAAAGCAAAACAAAACAAACTCTATGAAGAACATAGGAACAAAGTTGTGATGAAATTTGTTGTTTAAAATTATTCTTAATATTTTTAAAGGATATATTTCTAAAAATAACTTTATAATCATTAATTCTAAATAAGGAAAAAGTTTAATTTTCCATATGGATCAAAGTAATTCTTTTTATGCATTTCTTTACTTGTCTTTTTCATGTATACATGTAATTTTTAGGTAATTTGAATACTATTGTAAATATAATTTTATGGGAATTTTCTCTGTTTCTTCCTTTGAAATTGTTTTTCACTTAGCTACTGTTTTCACTGGTAAGCTCTGATTTTCTGGAAAAATAAAATAAATTTCCTTGAAATCAAAGAGGAGCGACTATAACAAGGGGCTTTAATGTTGTAGTCATTTCACAGAAGTGTCTGTAATGATCACCTGTTGCCCTCTGTGTTAAGATGAAAATGAATGTCCATTTGTATTCTTAAAGTTAGAATTTTTACATGCTTTTTAGTCATACTTTTCTTTACCTACATGGTGCCATTAAATGCTTTTCTTAGTAATTTGGCAGTGCTCACTAACTCTTCTAGATTTTTTTTTTTAAAGTAAAACTATGCTTTGGCCATGGTGTAGGATCCTGAGCACTTATCAGTCTTTGGAGTCACAAAAAAGTTTGTGTGGAGTGCTTATAGATATATACTATATTGAGTGAGATTCCCAAACATAGAGATTTAATTTCTGATTGCATGCAAAGCAAATAAACAGAACAGCCAATAAATTTGAACCAATATACAGAGACATGTGATGGTTTTGAAGGGAAAAGAAAATGGATATTGTACTATTGAATTGCAGAATGAATAGGTTTCATTAGAAAAAGCATCTTGATGAAGAATCAGTTCGCCCAAAGAAGATATGAGGTTTACTTTTATGAAGTAAAGGAAACTGACCTTATAATCACGAGTCAGCCCAAACCAATTTAGATGTGCCTGCTACTCGTATTCAGATGAATCATACAAGTTACTAGTGTTGTACTAAAAACTTTAGTCTTAACACATGTAAATCCATGGCTGATTCATGTCAATGTATGGCAAAAACCACTACAATATTATAAAGTAATTAGCCTCCAACTAATAAAAATAAATTAAAAAAAATAACTTTAGTCTTTGTCTTTCTTTAGTCTTTAGTTATATTTTAGTCTTTATTTTGACTGCTGTATTTCTTCATGTAATTTTGTCTTTTTTTTTTTTGTTCTGTTTTGCTTAATACTCGCTTTTCAGTGTTTCCTTTTATTCTTATTAAATTTATTTAGGTCAACTAATATTTTCTTTTTTCGGATGAGGAAATTGAGGTCAAAGTAAATGTGACTTATTCATCATCATGATTGTAATGAATCAGTTTTAGCACTGTGACTATAATGCAGTTCTTACCTGAAGTTTTTTGTTTTACTTTCCTTTTTTGATGTCCAGGATTAATCTGTGTGCATTTTTCATACTATAATTTGTTGATACTCTAGGTTTGATTTATTTTTAAAAATATCGTCTCCTCTCTCTTCTTGGAGTATTTCTGTATTTGACTGCATGCTGGCTTAAATATTCACAGATTCTAATGCCCTTTCCTGCTTTTTTTCTGCAGCCTCCAAATGTATCTCTAAAAGCATATGCAAGACCAGAGATACCTGTTACTCTTCTCTGTTATCTGTTCTTCAGTTCTGTGTCCCAGCCTTGATGATAGCCTCACTGTTCTTTAATCTATAACTGAAATGCTAAAGCTAGGTTTCTTGAAGCATACTTTGTTTTAACACTTTAGTATTAAAAATGAGTGCTGTTGCTCTTAATAGCTTTGTTTGAATATTTTGTGACAATTTTGGTTGTTTTGCAGGTACCTGGGGCCCAAGATTTGGTTGATTTCTCTCCTGTTTATCGATGTCTACACATATATTCTGTCTTGGTGAGTCTTTGGCTTTGCCTAATAAAACTCTATATTGAATTCAGATCTCTGCTTTCTCATATTTGATGGTTTTTCTGCTTATTATTAAGCAATAAGAAACTATTATTAAGGAATTGTTATTGTTGTTCAGTCACTAAGTCGTGTCTGAGTCTTGAGACCCTGCGGACTGTAGCATACCAGGCTCCTCTGTCCTCCACTATCCCCCAGAGTTTGCTCAAATTCGTGTCTGTTGAATCAGTGATTCTGTTTAACCATCTCATCCTCTGCTGCTCCCCTCTCCTTTTTTAAGGAGTATCAGTTATTAAAAAATAATCTTTTCTTCTTGAATCTTTTATTTACCTTTGCCATGTCATATGTGGTAGCTAGTAACATTAATTTCTGTCAGTCTTCAACAGATTATTAGATTATAGCTGAAAATAGTGACACACAAGTTTGAATTTCTACTGTTAATTTAAAAATGTGATATTCATATAACAATAGCCTATCTTTAAATATTAAAATACGATTTTTTTTTTTATTCCTGATGGTAATTACTCCTTTGTCATGTAACACATATGGAAAGAGGAACCTCTCAGAGGAGAAATACTGTGGATATCAATGTCATTCTAAGAAAGGCGCTTTATCCTTGTTGGTAGTATACCTACATGCAGACACACAGATACATACAATCAGTAAAAAAATTAAAGTATCATCAAAGACAAATTGATGAGAAAAGTCCATTATCAATACATTTTATAGCAAAATTCAGTGAATCTTCTATCAGGTTTTCAGCCTATTTGAATATGTCTTATTGCCTAGTGTGTTATCCATATTCTTTCCTTATATATTTACCATAGTATCATTACTCCAGATAGTTTGGGTGGACTTTATAGCCGGAAGTGTCTTTGGTAACCTCCTGTAGCTTGAGAAAAGAACTGATAGCTTCTTCCGCTCTTCTTCCTCCTCTGACTTGTTGCTGTCTGCTTCCCTCTTCCCCTCTCCCCCTCTCCCCATCTCTCTGTTTTCTCACTTTCTATTCCTTTTCTCTGTTCATCATTCTTTTGTATAAAAATGGGACTTCCCTGGTGGCTCAGCTGGTAAAGAATCCATCTGCAATGCCAGAGACCTGGGTTTGATCCCTGGGTTGGGAAGATCCCCTGAAGAAGGGAACGGCTACCCATTCCAGTATTCTGGCCTGGAGAATTCCATAGACTGTATAGTCCATTGGGTCACAAAGAGTCGGACATGACTGAAGCAAGATACAGATAAAATTGTATCAAAACGTCTAAAATAAGTTGACTGCTTCTTTTTAATATCATGCGTGTGAAAGTCACTCAGTTTTGTCAGACTCTTTGCGACCACGTGGACCGTAGCCTGCCAGGCTCCTTCGTCCGTGGAATTCTGCAGGCAAGAATACTGGAGTTGATAGCTATTCCGTTCTCCAGGGCATCTTCATAACCCAGGGATCGAACCCAGGTCTCCCTCATTGCAGTCATATGCTTACCAGGAGAATTATATACATTTTAGTTTGTCACATGCTTTTTTTTGTCATTTCATATAAGATCCCCTGTTGTATTGCATTTTAACATGGTTTTTCCATTCGTCCCCTGTCCATAACTCCACTTGTCTCTCATCCCCAATTATACTAACTCTTAATATGTTTAACATACGATCATGGTTATGTTTTTGTTTTTGAAAAGTAGATAGTAACTTTGTATTTGATTTTAACTTATTCAAATAGTATTGTCTTATGGACTTAGTTCTATTTCTTATATCTTTGTTTAGTACTGTTTTTTATATCTGTTCCTCATTATAGTTTGTACATTTAGTTCATTGCCTCCTGCTTATATGTGATAGTTAATTGATCCCATTTGTATTTGCTGTGTTTTAATTATCTATTACTTTAGTGTGTGTTAGTCACTCAGTTGTGTCCGACTCTTTGTGACCCCACGGACTGTGGCCCACCAGGCTTCTCTGTCCATGGGATTTTCCAGGCAAGAATGCCGGAATGGATTGCCATTCCCTTCAATTAACTCTTAAATTGCCTAATATATTCTGTTGTAACAAATAAATACCCTCTTATGGACTTGTGAGTTTCTATACTTTAAGTATGAAATTCTTGGTTGTAAGGTATAGTATAATACTTAATTTTACCAATTTCTAATTTCTGATAACCTGATGGATATTGATATCATTTTAATTGGCATTTCTCTGATTACTGGTAACTTTATGCTTCCCTCTTTGAACTTACTAATCCTTTAAGATTTTTCTTCTCTGAACTGCCTACTTTTAGACTTTGCTCAATTTTTTATCAGATATCTTGTTTTTGTCTTTTCTGTTTGCTGGAAAGAAACATTTCAGGCATTCTTCCAATATTGTAGATACTAACAGTTTAGGATATTGCAAATATCCTTTTTCCAGTTCACCACCAGATTCTAAACTATGTCTGTGTTATCTTTTATGAAATATAAATCTTTGATTTTAATATAATTGAGTCAACCAGTAGTAACCTTATAATCTGTACTTTTTGAGTTTTGAAATTATTATTATTAGAAATTATTATTATTTGATTAATAATCATTTTATTGATAGTTATTATTTGATTAATTATAAATTATTATTATAAAACTGTTATTTGAAATTATTATTATTTAAAGTTACTTGAAAAATCCCTCTCTTCCAGGTCATAGAGCGTTCCTTTTCCATTACCTTTAACATTTTACCAATTCACATTGTAATTTTGATTCATCTTGTTTTCACTGTTGTATACTGTATGAGGTAGGGGTCCAACTTAATTTTTTTTCTGTGTGATAAATTCAGTTTTACTAATCCCATCTATTACATAATCTGTACCTTACTGAGTAATTCCTGGTAGTACTTCTGGCATCCACTAAATATTCATGTTTGTATGAATCTGTGTCTCAGCTCTGTAATTTGTTATATTTGATTTTGTAATATACCTACATATATAGTAAAAGAAGTCCTTTTTCATTTTTCCTCTTTTAAATTGCTTTCACTATTTATAGATCTTTATTTTTCCATGTATATTTTATGGTCAATTTGCATTTATATGAAATAAGTCCTAGAATTTCTATTTGAATCAGTTGAATTTATAGATAAGTTTTAGGAAGAAGTGATCACTTTATAACACTAAGTTATCCCATTTGTGGAAGAAAAGGTCGACTTTAAAGTTATTTAATTAAGCTTTCTTCTTCTCTGTTAATAGTCTTGGGCACTTTTTGTTTAGTTACTAGCAGAACACTTAGTTTTTGTTGCTATTTTCTGCTTTAATTTCTAAAATTATTGCTGATATTGAGAAACACTATTGGTTTTTATAAGTTACCCTACATCTGGCAACCTGCTCAATTCTTCTGTTAGTTATTATAGTTTGTTTTTTGGTTTATGATAAGTTTTCTGTGTGGTTAATCGTAGTATATGCAGATATTTACTTTGTTTCTTTTCTTCGTAACCATTTATCTCTGTTCTTTCTATTGTGATGTTGTATTGACCAGGATCGTCATTACTTTGCTGTTCAGTAAAGTGATAGTGGACATCCTTCTCTGATTTCTAAATTCAAAGAGAGAATATCTAAAGTTTCTCCATTAACTGATGCTTACAATAGGATTTTGGTAAATATTCTTTATCTAGTTATTCCTAGACTTATAATTTTTTATTAAAACATAAATGAGTATTGAATTTTATTGAATTTGTTTTCCAAATATATTGATAAAATGCTGTGGTTTTTATTCTTTAATTCCTGAAGGTGATGGCTTTCATTGGTAGATACTTCTGATATTAATTCTTTTATTCTTAGATAAATCCAACTTGTTAAGGGTGTAAATCACTGCCTTTCTTTAACTCCCTGTTTAATTTTACTTCTTTTTGTCTATTTTATTTTTAATCTTTTTTTGTATGTATGTGTATGGCTATGAGTAACACAGGCCTAGTATTGTTCTTACTCTTCTTTTTTTTTTTGTATTTTCCTTTGTGGTTTGTAAGTCAGTGTTATTTTAACCTTATTAGAATTGTTGAACATCCTTCCCTTTTTTCTGTCTTATGAAATGATTTACATAATATAAAAGTTATCTATTTATTGAAAGTTGAGTAGAAATAACATTCAGTAATATGCATTTTTCATTTGCCACGTACTTCCTCCTCCTTTTCCCCATATTATCTTACTTCTATGACCCACTCCAGTATCCTTATCCAGAAAATTCCATGAACAGAGAAGTCTGCTGGGCTATAGTACACAGGGTCACAAAGGGTCAGACATGACTGAGTGATTTCATGATTTTGTTTGCTCTCTTCAGTAGTACATATGGCTAAAGAACCATATTTGCTTATATAAAATTTTAAGTTTTATTATAAGCCTCACAATTGTAAAATCAAGTGAATATTTCCTCATAAAGTATATGAAAATGGGTAGTTTGTTTAATTTAATGTTATATCCTCAGTACCAACAAGAGTTCTTGGTGTAGGTACTCGATAAATATTAGTTGAATGAACAGATAAATAAGTGGTACCTGAAGATGGATAGGGCTTCCCTGGTGGCTCAATCAAGGACTTATGCTTTTACAAAATTATACTTTGTCAGGAAATAAGTTACAACATTTGAATGACTATAATATGACAGCACTATATCTTTTTTTTTTTTTTTTTTGATAGCACTATATCTTATCACTGTGTGTATGCTAGTTCCTCAAGTGAGAAGTCTAGTAGTGATTCATAAGAGTACTGAAGTAATTTATTTGATAGTAGTGGTGTTAAGCAAGTCACGCAGACCTCAGCTTTCTCATATATAAAATGTGATAATAATGCTCAGTTGCATCTTACTCTTTGGGACCCCATGAACTATATAGCCTGTCAGACTCCTCTGTTCATGGAATTCTCTGGGCAAGAATATTGATGTTGGTAGCCATTCACTTCTCCAGGGATTCTTCCCAACCCAAGGATTGAACCCAGGTCTTCTGCATTGCAGGGAGATTCTTTACCATCTCAGACACCAGAGAAGCCCAATCATT